GAGGCTGGGCAGCGACGCGTCCCCCAGCGGCTGGTGGCTGTCCAGCCGGGCGGCGCGGAACCGGGCCTGCTTGACATCGGCAGCGGCCGGGCCGCAGCACCCCGTCACCAGCGCCAGCGCCAGTGCCAGCACCGTCAGCATCGCCCCGCGACGCACAGCGCGGGACCGCCGAAAACGGCCGACAACACCGACCACTGTCGGTCGCGACAGACCTCGCTGGCAACGGGCTGAGAGTCGGACGGCAGTCCGCAAGGCAAGCAGGCTCAGAATGACGAGCACGGCAGCGGCCGGCGAGCCGGCGGTCGTCGCCGGTGTCGTCGCCTCCGCGTGGCTGCCGAGCCGGGCGGGAGCCGGAGCGCTGGACGGCCAGCGGCCGGCGAGCCGGCGGTCCTGGTGTCGTCGCCTCCGCGTGGCGGTCGAGCCGGGCGGGAGCCGGAGCGCTGGACGGCCAGCGCCGGCGGCCGGTGAGCGGCAGTGACGGCGCCCTCCTGACCTGCACCGCAGCAGCCTGCAGGCAAGCCGGCCGTGCGCCGCTGCGACGCTGCCTCGGGCGGCGCCTCGGGCGGTGCTCACAACACTGCCCGCCACGCCCGCGTCGGCGTGTTTTTGACGTGTGCGGCTGCTCACCTTCGCGCTCGTGAAATGCCGACACCGATTGGGCGAACGGCCGGGCGCCGCGTTTACCGCGATTAATCGCAGGGTTCTGGACGGCGCCGCAATTGCCGATCCTGGCACCAAAGCACCGAGGGCTGCAACAACCAGCGACGCTTGCCGGTTAGTGATTGGATTACCGTTATACGCGCGCGATGGTCCGGCGGTAATGACAATGCTACATCGCCGATTGAGCACCCCGCCGGCTAGGTTTCACCAGACGCTGTGCATCGCATTCGTTCGGGGTCGATACCTGAAGCGCCGTAGAAAATGATATGTTCGGTGCCTGCAGTTTTGTGATGGCTCGAATATGAAGAACTTGTGAGTAGGCTTATGACCGAAGCGATTCTATAACGCACTGCGCAGGTCGGGTGCTCTATGGGTTTAACCGTTGCTCGCAAAAACGATTTTCGTTGTTGATCCTAGTCTGTCGGTGGGAGTTGCTTCCACCTATCCCCCAACGACACTTTTCCAACTGGGATCAAGTGAACGAAGCAACAACTGGTGGTTTGCTTTACTCCTCATGTATCCAGCCATGTCCGATTTCACACTCTGAGGCTAAAAATGGTTTCCCCAGTTGAGGGTAAACCCTTTGGATTTGAATACGCCCGGATGTAAACGCATTTATTGCGCGCTACCAAACACATTACAGCTGGTGAGACAAGTATGGAGGGCATTCATGAGATTACAAAGCTCCTGGGCTCTTTACTCATGCATGTCTGTATTACCTTAAACCTATGATGAATGCCCATTCGTAACGTTCCAGATCATGTCAAAGCACGCTAACTTTTTGCACCAATTTTACCGATGCCGATTTTCGTGTAATCAACAAGTGCTTGTAGGTGATTAAGTGTAGAAATATGCAGAATTGGCTGCGGGGATTAGAACTGCCACAAAAATGTCTCTGGAAATGCGAAGGTAAAGGTCAAGGAAATGCGAAGGTCAGGCTGGCTAGGGCCAATCTTCTCTTACTTTGAAAACCACCAGGCCAATACACTCAGATACCACCCAGATAGTTCAGAAGTCCTCATCCCGGTTGTGCGCTGTCGAATCGCGCCGTTTAATCTCACTACGTTTGTTCTGCTGGTCTTAACATACCCCGCGGTGGTAGCTCCGCGGCCTGCAGTCACAGGACAATGCCGCCAAAATATAAAAAAGACTGAAAAGATAATCATGCCAAAAGAAACCTAAGCTATCCCATCAACTACGGCTCAGCTCTCAGCACCGAGAAGTGTCACGGCGTGGCATCTTTCCAGGCGCGGGCGTGAGCTAAAAGCCTCCGGACTCACTGGATGGTGTCGGCGTGACTCTTCAGATGAGATATTTAGCCGCCAGTGCGCTTTACGTAAGCCATCAATGTTTGTATTTGGCAATGACGTGTCCCTGTTTTATTATTTGCAGAATGGTGGACGATTTGCGGGATGGTGGTTTGTGCTCGTAAAACCGTGCTGCCAAAATGATTTCGAGTCGCCATAAACCAGCGCAATCTCATGCAATTGCTGTACATCACGTCCACGTCGGTACCGAAGCTGAACGGCATTGCGTCTTGTTTAATGGCTTACCTCATCATGTGCTTAAGGCGGCGCTTTTGACTTTGATTTTCAAAGTTTCCTTTAAGTTGGCGCGTTCCCCTGTTCCAATCTTTTCAGAGACGTGAGTCTGCAGAGATTTGAATGCATTCACTTTCCTTCAAGATTGCTTCCCGCGGCCGAGCCAAAGAAGTTATGTGTAAGAAGATGGACCAGTCACTCACTCAAATGTCACTCGAATGTCACTCAAGTGGACGGATCGAAACGAAACGCGTACAGACAATTATTTCAGTGACCCAACAAATGTAAAACGACGACATTGCACGAGCCTTCGTCTCTTCTGAAGTTCCCAACTGATTCCCTCCTTCTCTCGAAAACCCAATTTCGCGAAAACCACTCAAAAAAGCAAAAACGCCACTCGGCATCATCCGCTCGGCGTCCTTCTCTACTCCGCGCGCGGAAGCTCCGCATCCGTCCTCGTATGCTCGCGTCGGTCTGCGTCCAACTAGCCCGGCTCTGTCGCCTGGCGCCCCTAATCGGGAGCAGCGGCCGAAGCGACGTAGCGAACGGCGCCGCTGGTGGGCCGCGAGCTGGCCCGCTGCGCCAGCGCCATCTTCTGCAGCAGGTACGCCCTGGCGGCGACCTGCGCCGAGCGGCGAGCCAGCGTCGCCGACACGCCGCCCGGCAGCGGCGGCGAGCGCGGCTCGGCCGCCAGCCAGGCCGGCACCCGCCGCGGACTGAAACACGGCACACACACTGAAATATGGCATACAGACTGAAACACGGTACACCAACTGAAACACGACACACACGCTGAAACACGGCACACGGACTTAAACACGGCACACGGACCGAAATAGGGCGCACGGATTGCAACAGGTCGCACAGACTGAAACATGACTTACGGGCTGAAATGGTGCACACGGACTGAAACAGGGCGCACAGACTGGAACAGAGCACATATACTGAAGAACAGCAGACATACCTGAGTACGGTACACAGACTGCAACACAGTACGGGCCGTGAATAAGACACGGTGGACGGAAGGAGACACAGACACGGCACACAAACTGAACACCGGAACACGGACGGAAACATGGCACACAGACTGTTAAAGCGAGCAGCCTGAAACACAGCACAAAGACTGAAAAGCGGCACACGGACTGAAACCGGAACATGAACTGAAGCATGGCAGACGGGTTGAAACATGGCTCACGGGCTGAAACAGAGCAAACAGACAGAAGAACAGCACACAGATTGAAACAAGCGAAATACATACTGAAACACGACACAGACTGAAATATGGTACATGGACTGAAACACGACACGCATACTTAAGTACTGCACACAGACTGAAATAGGGTGCCGGCCGGGACTGAGCGCGGCATGCATGCTGAAACACGCCACACGGACTGAACCACGGCACCGACCACAACTGAAACACGGTACACGGACGGAGAAACGGCACACAGACTAAAGCAAGGCAAACCAACTGAAATATGGCACATGGACTGAAGTACAGCACGCAGTCTGACACATGGCACAAGGACTAAAACATTGTACCGGCCGCAAACTAAAGCATGGCGCACTGGTTGGAACACAGCACAGGCCGCGAACTGAACCTCTGCACAGTGGGCGAACCAGATCCCGAACGCAGGGAACACGTCGGCTTGCTTCCGACAGGAGCGAGGAGTCGGAGCAGTCGGAGCAGTCGGAGCAGTCGCCGCACCTGATCACCACGCTGAGGTCACGCTGCAGCAGCTGCTGCTGCTGCACGATGTACTTGGCGGGCTCGTCGGTGAGGCGCGCCATGTCGGTCAGAATGGCGCGCACCCGCTGTCGCAGCTGATCGAGTCGGCTCCGGTCGGCGGCGGCCGCCACCAGCCGGAACGGCCCGGCCGCCGGCGCTGGCGCCGTCGGCTCCACCGTCACGCCCACGTTGAAGCTGCGATGTGTGAAGGCGCGATGAAGTTGCGATGTGCGAACCTGTGATGAAGCTACGACGCTCGAAGCTGTGATAGCGCTGCGATGTGCGAAGCTGTGGTGAGGCTGCGATGTGTGAAGCTGTGATGAAGCTGCGATGTGCGAAGCTGCGATGAAGCTGCGATGTGCGAAGCTGTGATGAGGCTGCGACATGTGAAGCTGCGATGAAGCTGCGGTGCGCAAAGCTGCGACGTCGCTGCGATGTGGCCGACAGGTCAGTGGCGACAGACAGCGGACAGAGGTGGGGCGCGCTGAGATCTGGCGGTACTGGGGCCAGTCTGTGGCCCACTCGCTTTGTGGGGGCGCGACCTTCGCAGCGCGTTACTCTCACTGTCCGTTTACAGTTAGTTTGTTTTCTAATTTTGCCGAACACACATGACCGTTGATTGGAATTTTGTCTCTGATAACTAAGACTAGATGGGCTATCTCTTCTGAAGCCGTAAGAGGACCGTATTCAAACCGTTTGTTTGCGTTATTTATTAACAAAAGCGAATATAGTCCGTCGGACTATTTTGCGTCCTGCATTTGACGATTTGATAATATTTTATTCTACCATTTTCGGAATGGCTGATAACAAAATAATGAAGTTTAATGCGCCATGTATTTAGAAACGGCGCAAAACAGGTGGATGGTAAAGGAGGATGGCAAAACGTTAGATGCACATTTTATAGCCATCGGGTGTGTGACGGGAGGGGCTACCGTGATTTTCGACGGCGGGGGGGGGGGGTTATGAGCCAGTCCTAGTCCCGTTGGCAGTGTCTACGCGCTGCGAACAGACTAACCGACCCTACAAACGCTAATAAGTACACCGCCTAGCGTATCAATGAGCTATCGATGTTGGTTTGCCCTGGTGCCTTAGACAATTATCTCAGCTGCGTGCAGTACATATGCACTTGGCTATCGCGTGCTATTTTTTTTTTTTTATTACTAAATTACTCCTGTTAGGCTTGACATGCCACTACCCATGGCAGTGTCTACGAGTCTACGATATTTAAAACCAAAATCGTTTTCCTGATCACCAGATTTCAGGTGTCGAGGTGAAAACTGCGCTCGAACCTGCTAGGGGGCGGGGGCGGGGAGGGCTACAGCACCGTGAGATCCCCGCTTGACTGCGTCTTTGGTAGTAAACGCGCGCTATTATGCTATTACACCATGCCTTTTGACATGCTGAATCCTACGGGTACCTTGTTTTACATCGGAGCGCATCAGTGTTTCTGGTGTGAGTCAGGACACTTCTACGTTTGGAACAGTCGTTTGCATTAACGCTTGAAAACGGTTTTAAGGCAACACAGGGGACCTGTTTCGCTGAGTCACAAACTGTGCCACGCAAACTACGCAATGCGCACGACCCCCATACTTACTGATAAGTCATGATCAAGAGATCCCATGCTCTCGGAATCCCACAACCACGGCGAGCCCCACAGCTACGGCAGCGCAGAGCAAACGAACAGCCGCACCCTTCGCCACCAGGCGAAAACCAAACACAGCCAACGGTGCACAGACATTCCCATTGCACGAATGTGCACGCATGTTAGCCGACGGAAACCAAAAAGAGGGATGAGAAACGGATCCGGTTCACTCATGCACAACTGCCGAAGCGTCCGTTGTGATCTCCCTGCCTTCCATCAGCTCAGCGTTTTAAGACCGTCCGATCGTGCGCCGCTCACCGCGCGCTGCGCCGGCACGCCCAGAAGGAGAGCAGGATGTAGTCCTGCCTCAGCACGCGGACAGCCACCTACCAGAGCGGAACACAACAGGGCGGACTTAGAGCACGCAGGAGGATTGTGAAATTGGCCAGAACAAAGAGCAAATCGCTAAAGGTTTCAAGAAATGACAGTTATCTGCCGTTATGCTCATAACTCAGCTAAAACAAATTAGGAACAAAACAAATAATGCCTGATATGAATAAGTGGAATGCATACAGAACCCATACTGCACGGCAGCGGCCTGCATGACTGGAACTGGGCTGAAGCCTGCATCGATGCATAATTTAGGCGGCCGCATGCGGCTGTTTACGACCATGTAAAACTAATTTAGTTGGACCGCAACTCACCCAATGGACAATTTCAGTTATGATATCTAAACATCAAAGATTAAGCCGCTAGATGGCGGGTGATATATCATTTGTGTGTGTGCTATGCCACCGCCCAGTCACGGAATCAAGAAAGGTGATTAGGGGACCGACATGAAAAATGTGGCCATGCATTTTCGAGTAACGACCCCTGTTACACACGGCCTTTACGTCGCGCCATTTGAGAAAAAGATAGGTATTAATGCTACGCGGTTCATTGCTGACGTCGGTTGCAACACTTTGGACAGATCGATATTATATTTCATTCGATTTTTGAGACCGAAGTCAACGGCATACCGTATAGTATTAACCTAGATGTAAAGTCTCAAAGAGGGCCTAATATCGATGAGTTGATGACAAGTATGATAAATGATAAGCCATGAAATTATCCAATGCGAAAACCGAATGATAATCGAGATCGGTGCGTAGAAAGTGGACCATTCCCAAAACATCCAAGCCTCGTCCGCGCTCAGCTCTCACATGTTTGTTGATGGCGAATATGACGGGCTGGAGAGTGGGCGAGTGGTGGACGTGGTCGTCCAGGTCCGACCAGCGCCAGCGTCGCTCAGTGCCGTCATCGCGGTGGTACCAGCCCTCCCGCTGGTCGAACAGCAGCCTGCCGCCCGCGCCGTGCGCGCCCTCATCAGGGCCAGCTCACATCGAGTCGCGTAGCGGGTAACGGGCGTAACGTAACGCATTGTAACGGGCGTAACGCGCGGTTTGGCAGACCGCTGTCGCTGGCGAATGCGCCCTCGGCAATCAGCTGCGGATATTTTAGTGAGCTGTGCTCTGGGCGGCTACAGGGGAAGATGCATCAATGACCGGTCACAAACTGGCTTACAATCAAATCAAGCTGCGCCTGTCGATTAGTCTAGGTTGTGTTGTCGTCTAAAAAGGAAAGCTCTATATCGGTAGAACAAAACATGCTTATCGTGTGAAATGCACCGGTTAACTCTCTTCGTCGTTGTGAAGTCTTAGGTTCGGCCATAGGGATATGTCAACCGGGTGTCAGAAACCAACAAGGTGATAACTCCTTGATAGCCTACCATTTAAAGTGATCAGGCCCTTAAAAGCGAGGATCTGGAATGACACCGGGGGTTCAGATGGCCATATACTGAGGCTTCAATCGTGACCCAAGAACCTGAGGGTTTAGACGCCTGACGTGACGCCGACACTAGGTCACGCCGGCCTGGCCTTTTGACCTGGACCTTTCGTCGCCTCCCGACCTGATGGTGCCCTTTTCCGAGTAGATGAAACCGACGCCCTGCGGGTCGAACATGGCCAGCACGCAGTTGGAGGAGGCCGTGTCGATACAGGGCTCGTCCGGCATCACCACAAACCGGCGACCTGCGGCACAGGGCGCGTCGGCGCGGAGCGCCCTCTTCAAGCGTGGCCCTCTCAGAGAGGAAACAGCTCAGCAGTGCCAGCGCTTCCGCCATCCGCATGCCGTAGCTGCACCAGATGTGTCTGGCCAGCGTTAGCACAACGCGGCATGTCGTTATCGCCACGTCCAAGCCCATCGATCTCCCCGAACGCCGACGCGGAACCCGGTGCATTACGAAATTTCCCAGCAAAGGAGTGCGGCGGCTTTTTGGCAATCAGCATTGGGTGGGTGCCCTTTGCAGCACCACACCCGAGGGTGCGACATTTCGGCGGCCCTACGATAGCAGTTTGCACATTTCATGAGCGACTGGACTTCCCACATGGAACTTGTTTCGGAACCGAATCACTTCCAGCCGCTCTGTGCCCGGTTCCGTGCCCGCGGCCGCTGGTGGTGTTTGGGGGGGGGGGGAGGGGGGCGGCGTGTGGGATCCCCGCAACGGTCAGCTGTGTGGCCACCAGCAAATCCGGCTGTCCAGTAAGACTAGTGACCCGGGACATCGCAAAGCCAACAGCCCTAGAACCCTGCGCGATCATCAATCCTTGGCTCCGGTATCCAAAAGCAGATGTAGGAAGTTCCTAGTTGTTCGAGACTATAGGTTAATGTTACAAAAGCGCAGCAAAATAACGGACCTTTGGCATACCGGGAGCATTGCTGGCAAACGCTGTTTGGTTGGTATATTCATGAATACCTCATGGCTTACTGAAGGCCGGTGTAAGAGCTCATGGCACGGGATGGTCATAAGCCCCGACGCAGCCAGCGTCGGGGCTGGGAGAGCCATGAGGCGGCGGCGGCATCCACTGGTCGGTGGCGGTCCGCTGCGTACCTGCCGTTTCCATGGTGATGAGCACAGCTGGCTCGCCGCTAGGGTACAGCACGTGTCCGGAGCCGTCGCCGAACCACGTCACGAACAGCTGGCCGCAGGGGTAGAACTCCTGCAGGAACTGGTTCATGCCGCTGGGGAGAGATGGCGCCACAGTTAACTACGGAGCACACCGATCGGTTCGTGTCTTTAGAGCAAAGGGGCGCCGCAGGCTGACGTGGCTCACCGGCTGGCTAGTGATATAAGGGAGAGATGGCACCGCATGACGGACAGAACGCTGCGTGGTTTGACATGACCTCGCGTGCCGGGACGCTATCGTTTTGTGCAGGGAAGCGGGCTCGTCGGGAGTGGTCAGTTTGCCTCTCCGGTCTTCTAACGCTTCCGCCGGGCGCTTGTCCCAGACCCTGCCCATTGCATGCCCAGACCGTGCCCATTGCATGCCCGAGAAACTGCCCGATGTCCAGCGAGCCCTGCCCAGTGTTCACCAGCTCCTTGTCCGTAGCCCGCTGGCCCCTTACCCGATGTCTGCCGAGCCCTGCCCAGTGTTCACCAGCTCCTTGTCCCTAGCCCGCTGGCCCCTTACCCGATGTCTACCGAGCCCTGCCCGGTGTCTAATAACCCTTTATTTGTAGCCCGTCGGCTCCCCTCACCCGATGTCCACCAACCCCCTGCCCTGTGTTTACCGACCCCCCACCCGTAGCCCACCGGCACGCTTCCCGATGTCTGCCGACCCTCAGCCCGGTCTGCCGGAACCCCTGCCCGGCGTCTCCGGGGCCCCGAGGCCCACCTCTCGACCGGGTGGGTGACCAGCTCGGCCTCGGACTCCGGCTCGGAGGGTGGCCGGGGCCCCGGCTGCTGCGGATCGCTGCCGTCCCATGGCAGCTGAGTGACACCCTCCTCCAGGAACAGGATGTCGGAGAGCCGGTAGTGCATTTGGTCGTCGTTGACGGAGGAGTCCCGCTCGAGGCGGTCGCTGCGGTCCCCGCCTGCGGCCAGAGCAGGGACGGGTCAGGGCTGGGCGACTTAGCTTGGTGGGCTTTGCTGTAGCAGAACACGGATATGTGCAACAGTGCGGCCTCGAAGCCGCATTTGCCGTTAGTCGTCGAGACAGCGCTGTAAGCTATGATTACCGAGCATTTTGTTTCTGTAAAGAGTAGGTACTTTGCCACTGTGCACTGCCACGCTCCTCTGTGAGCCATACAACTGGGAGGCCAGCATAAGTGCAGGGTAGACCGACACAAGCACCCCCTACAGAAAACATGACAGTTTGCGGTTTGTTTAGTGATAAATTGGCTTATTAGACCACATGCTTGGACTCCATGCAACATCACCAGCTGAGAATATAGCACAGTATGTTTAAAGGAAATCAGTCATGTTGTAATTCTCTTCTAAATTATAATTTTTAAATCCTTTCAATCGTAATGCAGTGAAGAATCAATACGGTATAATTGTGCGGCTGCTGGGGCAGGCAACATTCGTAACTCAACGACAGGTTCTCTCAACTCCTAAAAAGCGTAGTGAAACGCGATATTCTGTGCGTCAGCGCCGCGAAAGCGTCATACAATCCAAGCGGACATCCAAGGCAGCTCATCAAAAATGCACGAAAACACCGGCGTGCATGGAAGAGCAGCAATTTTCATTCCCTGCCGCTCCGTCGATGAATAACGTGGGCTCCACGCATGGCTGCAGCTCACCATTAACGGCGAACTGAAGTAAGACGCCCCCGCTCCAGCCTACGCCCTGAACCCCCCCCCCCCCCCTCCCCCTCCCCTCCGTGCTCGGCCCGCTCACGTTTGCCCCGCTCGGTGCGCGAGTCGTCGGCGCTGTCCAGCGCGCCACTGCTCGTCTGAGCGCGCGCCTGGCCGCGTGTCTTGCGCCGCCGGCGGGCGGCACTTCCGGTGCGACCCTTGGTCCGCCGCCGGCCTGCCGCCGCCACCTCGGCGTCGACGCCCTCGTCGTCGGCGTCGGCCTCCAAAGAGCCGTCGTCGTCACCTGGCCAGGACAGTCGGCGTTGATTGGGGGGGGGGGGGGGGGGGGCGGGACCATACATTAGGCCGAAGGATGGAGGTGCCTCGAGTTCGAATTATTCGCGGAGCCTCGGCAGTTCAGTGACAACGTAGAACCAGTTGGCTGAAAATCTGAAACACTTGTGGCCATAAGAGGTGATTGCACATCGATTCTTCTATCGTGATTAGCAAGCGCTTCTCGTGACGTGCATGCGAGCATTACATACTTCGAAATGCTGCACATCAACCGTCGGATGGAAGGCAGGACGACAAGTGTATTGGACAAAGTGGACAAGCATACATGGATAAGCACGTGCTCGGGTGATGTCAATGTTCTCCCCAGCCGCGAAAGTTTTTGCAGAATGATTTCCGAACAGCGTGGCGTAGGCACGCCAAACACTGCAAAACTGTAGACAGCTGAATAGGAAAGATCTTGATTAGACAATATCAATAGCCTCATTACTCGTACAATAACCAAGAGAATGGACAGCTGAACATTTATATTTGGGCTGCATACCTTCATTGAAACAAATAACAGAAGTCAGCTCAAAATCGCCTGCCCATCATACTCCATTTTTTTTTTTTAAGCAGCAAGCCACAGTTTTTACAGGTCGCCAACATTAAGGGGAATAAAGAGGGAGCCATCACCGGTCATTACTTTGATACACTACACATCTCACTAAGAATCAGCATACGCGAAAAATGCGTCTACATGGCCCGAATTCAACCAAACAGGCATCATGCATCGCCCATCATCCAAACATTTAAACGATTTCAGGTGAACCATTTCAAGAAGCAGCCATCATGCATCACACATCATTTATGCACACAAGCGATTTTATTAATCCGGTATTGTGTATACGCGTAAGACATCACTCATGCATAAACACGATTTTAAATTTGCACGCATCACACATCAAGGTATTTAGCACATTCGCATAATCGGTCATGATAAGCCCTGGGTGTTATCGCCTGGTCGCCAAGTTGCCAAGGGGCTATAGGAATAAAATAATATTCGCATTGTAATTTTCAGTCAGAGGTGCACTGTACTGTGGTAATGGCTGGCAATTACCCCTTGTCTAATCACCTGGATGTTGGTGACCTGTAAAAACTGTAGCTCGTTTTTAAAGAAGACCTGAAAAATCAAGTAGGATGAGCAGGCAATTTTTAAGTTACTGCTTATATAAGTTTCGAGAAATGCATGTAGCCGAACTATCAATGCATCCATCTGTAAACTCCCCTGGTCATTCTAAGAGGAAAAGGGCTATTCATATTGTCTTATCTATATGCATAATCCTCTTCGTAAATGCGCTTGATAACATACGCCAAGGGAGATTTTGGTACAAAAATTAGAAGTACTTTGTCAGATCGCTGACCAACGGTATGCCAAGGTCAGGCCGCGGCTGTCAGCGAAGGGGCGTTCTAGGGAATCGTCCAATCTGATTGTTTTTTAGGGAAAGAAATAACTAAATCTAGGATTGCAACAAATTCCATTAAACCAAGATCGGGTGTGAAAGTCAGACCAAGGCCTAAACTGTTTGATGGCTTATGATGTTCATTTCGAATTTGTTAATAGCATGAATCACAACGGACATCATCCATCGGCACATTAAATATCAGAGTAGTCAACTGACCTAAACTGGCCCAGGTCAACACTGTGTTTTCAAGGACACAACCCTAGTATAATCATTGACGCTTATACAGTTGTAAAAATTAAAACAACCTGGTAAGATGTCGGTCACCATAACCTTCTAAAGGTCAAGCAAGATCACTAACTTTAAATCGGGAAGCTTTTGTTTAAAGCAGGCATCTGCGTTCAGGGCGGTTACAGGAGGTCTGGGGGCGCTTTGGACACGAATCTGGAGTTTGACTATGTCTGATCTTATTTTGTCCGAAGGCCATGACCTAGGAACCTAAAATTTTGACTCAAGTGTATTCACTTACAGGTCAACCCACCCTGGGAATTTTATGCCTCTAGTTATCTGGTGTTATAGATTTCAGTGGGTCAAAATGGCCTTCTCTCGAGTGAAGGGTATTCAACCGGCCACGTGAGCGCGTGTTGATACACAAACTTTTTATAATTATCCATTTCTTAGAATCATGCATAGATCTTTGGCATAATTGTAATAATGTATCAAATACCTATTGATTGGGTGGATATTTCTAAAGACTACGAACTACGGGCATGTTATTGAAGACGAAGCGGCGTTTGTAGATATCCGGCACTTCACCATCAGCGCGATTGTGCTTGCACTAGTGCAACGGAGCGTCACAACGACTAATTGTGACTGTCCGTGCACCCCAAGGGGTCACTTGCTCTACGTAAATCATCAGCTACATGGCCTTTGGGTGATTCATCGTGCCATATCGTTCAAATGGTAGATGGCAGCCAGCAAGGCTATCGATCGCACATAACAAACCCCGAAAATAGATGGCCATTGCACGCCCCAACCCCTGCCCTCTGCCTAAATCGCCATGCAGAGCATTACGTTGATTGTCACGTCTATTTCATCACAATTAGAAATGTGTTATGAGTTATATAAGCCAAGCGTAATGCACATTGGACTCACGTGCGTCTTGCTGGCCGGTGTCATCGGAAAGCGGCTCTTCTTGTATCTCGTCCGCCCTTAACTTGGAGGCTTTTAGGCTGGCCTTCGGAGAGCGCTGATAACATAAATGTGTGAGCTCAAGCGGGTATTTATCGACAATGGTAGGCAGCGCAGAACAGAGACGCAGCCAAGAGAGGAGAGCGGGGACCGGGCCCCCGCATAAGACCCAAATTGTTCGTGTCTTACCGCAAATGACCTCCGACAGAAGATCAAAAATCGCCGTGATACGGATTGTTGAGCTCCGGGCCCCTCCCGTAAGAACAACCTGGCTGCCCCCTGCGTGCGCTGGTGCTTTTTAGCAATGGCACACAAAGCAAGTTTTCGAGCGTACGTTTAATGAACTGATATAAATTCAATGCAACCGAATCAGCTCATTAAAAAAAAAATACGAGTTTCGTGAGAATAATACGAGTTTCGTAGTCACTACACACACAATTCGTAAGGCATAACCCGTCCACGGCACCGACTCTTAAGACAGGCAAAAATCAAAAATATCCGCGCTTTGTTCATGAGGCATCTTCCTGTGGTTCGCTGAGACTTGCCGGTCCGTGAGGCGAGGGGGGAGGGCGCCGTTACCAGCCGGCATCTCACCTCGTCGGCAGGGTCAGCCGGGATGCCGGGGTCTGTCTTCTCGGAGACACCCATGGCGGTGACGACCAGCATCTGCGGCGAGGCGGCGCCGCGCGTCACCTTGTCCATGATCTCCTTGATCTCCTTCGGTGAGAGCTTGCGCCCGAGCATCGCCTCCATCTCCTTCACCCGAGCCGACGTCTGCTGGCGGCGGCCGCTGCTGCGGCGCCGGCGGCGGCGGCCTGAGGACGAGCTGCTCTCCTGGAGCGCCGTCGCCTGGTCGGCCGTCGAGAGGCGCTGCGAGCCGCGCTGCCGCCGCCACCGCGGCTCGCCCGAGCGTCGGCGCCGGCCCCGGCCCGAGCCACGCCGCCTGGCCTCGCTCGACTTGCGCCGCTGGTCGGCCGACTTGCGCCGCGCAGCCAGCTTGGCCGCCACACTGTTGGAGGCGTCGACTGCGCGGAGCGGTGCCGACGGTTAGCTCATGTCTCAAATGGATGGGTGGCTCAGTGCGAAGAGGAAAGCGTGATGCTACACGCAATGTATTTCTAGTGTAAAGCCTGAGATACTTGAGGCCGTCAAAACGAGAAAAAAAACAGCACACACCACATCAGGTCTCCAACTCCTCCTCAGCATTTGCGGCGGCACTCTCGACCCACGTGTCCCCGCTCGTCTTACCATTCCTTTGGACGGGCATGGTGAAGGGCGGCAGCTTCGGCGGCGGGGCGGCGCTTCCCCTGCCGTCCTGGCCATACCGCTGCAGCGAACGGAGCCGCGCGCGCCGCTCCTCCCGGCAGCTGGCGCCGGCCGGGGCCTGCCGCTCGCTCGAGGCGACGCTGTCCACCGCCGACAGCAGCTCGTCGCTCCCGTCGAGCCGGCCCAGCTCGGAGCAGCGGCGCCGGAGCGCGGCCTGCCGCCGGATCTTGGCCAGGTCCTCCGCGTACTCGGCGGCCACCATGTCGGCGAACGGCTCGCAGCAGAACTCGGCCTGTCCGTGGGGCGGGGCTCTGGTCTGGTGTGAGCTCGCTCCAGTCAGCAAACCATGTCCGGTGCGTGAAACGTGTGGGATGCTGCGCATGTGCGCTGTGCAGTGCTCCATTTCACGAAGTGCTTGCATTTATGCTAGCCGAACTAAGACATGTGCTTCAACTTGAAAGAAATTGAAGCATGTCACATGACTTGTGTGAGTTTCGGCAAACAGTGAAATAAAACCTGCTTCCATTTTTTTACCTCCAGCTTGCCTTTGGGGGGGGGGACGGAGAGCCTGGGCGCAAAGCCCGCTGTCGAGGTCAATGGTAAGCTTAGGGAGTAAAGAGACCGAGGTCAACCAGCACAGGCCTTCTGTAAATCCAGCACTTAGGGAATACCATGCTAGGGGTGGCGGTGCAGCAGCACTCAGCATCCGAGCCTGGAGAACACCCACTCACACACATGCTGTCCTGGCCCCAGACGACGTCCTCGCCGCAGAACGGGCATATCAGCAGTTCGTCGAGCAGCAGCTGCAGGTCGAGCAGCCGTTGCCGGTCGGGCAGCTGGCGAGGTTCGCCCAGCGGCTGGTGGGCGTACAGGCGCGGACAGAGCGACTCGCGCGCCACCTGCAGGATCGTCGGTCGGAAGAAGCCGCTCGTGTCCTCGAAGAGCGGGTGGCCCTGGCGAGGGAACACACACAGTTGTGGAGGAAAGCGTGTGGACGCGCTGATCGCGGTCAGCATCGGCTGGTGAAAGGCACAGGTGGCGCCGGTCGGTTACCTGCGACTTTCGGTAACTGTCCGTGTGTCCACACCAAGACTGCACTGCATTCAGCCCCTGATGTAGAGAAGCGTATGAAACAACTGCCCAGCCCAACCTCTCTTCCAGGAGCAAGCGGGTCTTGTGAGAACTCTTGAGGCTCCATATTTGGTGCTTAGGTGTGTAGTTCAGGCTCGGAGACAAACGGGACTGTTCACTGCTGAATGTATCTCTTTCGGATATGCTTACATATGAATGAAGGGCAGCAAATCACCAATGTTAAGGATAATTTAACATCGGCGACATGATGCAATAGCATGTGATTGCACCTGCTTGCATATCCAGCTACTGCAGAGTTCCACCACGCCTCAGCGCCTCGCTCTCGCCTGTTCGGTGAGATAGTAGTTGAAGACGGCGACCGAGGGTGAGTAGTCCTGCGTGATCTCCAAGTGGTAGTTGATGAGCGTCTCGTAGATGAGCGAGTAGGGCGCGGCCGTGATACGCAGCTTGGAGCGCACCATCAGGTCGATCTGGGAGACTACTCGCGTCATCTCGTCGTAGTCCTGGTCCGGGATGTCGTCCCGCATCACGGGAGAGCGAGACCGGGAGCGCGGCACGACCTGCGGGCAGGAGACACGTCAACGGGACAGCATCAGGGGGCCGGGGTGTCAGCTGAACGGGATAGGATCAGCGGGACCGGGACACCAGCTGGAACAGAGCCACGTCAACTGGACAGGATCAGTGGCACCTGGGCGCCTCCTGGGACAGCGCCACGTCGGTGGGACAGGATCAGTGGCACCTGGGCGCCTTCATGGACAGGACCACATCGGTGGGACGGGATGAGTGGGACCAGGGTACCAGCTGGACGGAACAAGATCAGTGGGACCGGGGCATCTTCTGGGACAGAGCCACGTCGGCGGGACGGTCTCAGTGGGACCAGGACACCTGTTGAGACAGAGCCACGTGAACGGGACAGGGTCAGGGGACCGGGGTGATATCTAGGACGGAGCCACGTCGGTGGGGCAGGATCAGTGGGACCGGGCATCAGCTGGACGGGACAGGATCAGTGAGACCTGGGTACTAGCTGGACGGGAGAGGATCAGTGGGACCGGAGCACCAGCTGGAACAGAACGATCGCCTGTGCCCAAACTCAGTCAAAAGATCAGAAATGCGTGTGTCAAATCAGCATTTTCACGGCCGATATGTCATGAAATGCACTAGCTGCGTTAGATGATGAGGCAACGAGGCATTTGCCGGGGACGGAGGCCATGCTGATCAGCTGGTCACCGCGCCGCTGCTGCGGCCAAGGCCACTCACCTGTTCCGATTCGGTACGAGCGGCTGGCGGGCCTGTGGCGTCAATCATCGATCGCTTTCTCGTCATCAGATGCTTGATGTCGGCGTCTTCGTACACGCGATTATTTCGATCTTGTTCAAGACTACGTCGAAGAATGCGTGCGACCTGGCGGGCCAAGGCTGGACGTGGGTGTTGGATCATTATTGCGTTTGTCAAAGTCTACAGCCATCGACAATTTTGGGAGGTTACAGGACACAGAAATGACTTGTATTGATACGATTTGTCTCCGCACCCGGAGCAACTTGTCTGTCCGTCTGCATGTGTCGATCCGCACCTGGAGCGCCTCGTCTGTCGGTTCGCACCTGGAGCGCCTCGTCTGTCGGTCCGCACCTGGAGCACCTCGTCTGTGAGTTCGCACCTGGAGCACCTCGTCTGTCGATCCGCACCTGGAGCGCCTCGTCTGTGAGTTCGCACCTGGAGCACCTCGTCTGTCGGTCCGCACCTGGAGCGCCTCGTCTGTGAGTTCGCACCTGGAGCACCTCGTCTGTCGGTCCGCACCTGGAGCACCTCGTCTGTCGGTCCGCACCTGGAGCACCACGTCTGTTAGTCCGTACCTGGAACACCTCGTCTGTTGGTCCGTACCTGGTGTACCTCGTTTGTCAGCCCGCACCTGGAGCACCCCGTCTGTCGATCTGTACCAGGAGCGTCACGTCTGGCAACCCGCACCTGGGGCACCTCGTCTGTCAGTCCGTACCTGGAGTACCTCGTCTGTCGGTCCGTACCTGTAGCGCCTCGTCTGTGTTGAGCCGCTGCAGGGCGGCGAGCACCTTCACCAGGCAGGAGCGTCGGTCCAGCAGGAGATAATTGGAACAGCAGGTCTGGGTGCCCTCCGTCGCCTGCATCTCCGTAGTAGATGTCGACACCGTCACGCTGGCGTTACATCACATTGTGACGTCATATCAAACGACGCTATCATGCTGACGTCACATGACACCGTCGCACCGGCGTCCCATGGCGTCTCTACGCTGGTGTCACGTGACACGCTGTCACGCTGTCGCCATGCATAACACCGTCATGCCGGTGTCATGTGATACCGTGGAAGCTCCGCCTGACGAAATGAGCATGCTGGAGGCACTTGACACTATCATGTGTGCGTCACATCACCGAGGAACGGCGCCACGGATTGTGAGTGGGGGCAAGATTTTCGAGGGTGTCTCCCGGACAAAGAAAGGCCTCCCTACAGGGAGGCCTCCTAGATGATGTAGTGTTCAAGGGAAACAGGTATCAAGGGCATGTGTTCATTTTCCAAACAGTCGCATACATCATGTCCGAGTAAATAAATGACAACAGTGACCTTGTGACCAGTGAGTGACCTAGTGACCAGTGAGTAGAAGGAGACCTTCAACTTATTCAGCAAATGATCTGTGTTACCCGAAATAGGAGCTCCTAATTCATGGAGGCCCTTGTAATCCAGAACAGGGTGCTTCCAAATTACGAAGAGGCCTCCAAATCTGGCTAAGCGGCTTAGTCATCGCAAAACAGGTCATCCTGATCCTGAACCTGCGGCCACCTGATGCATGAAAGGGGCCTACTGCTCCAGAAATGGAGTCACCTGAACATAGAGGATGCGTCCGAATTCGAACCGTGAACAGGGCTTCCTTTTTTATAACGGGGACGTCCCGAGTCAGCAGAGACTTTTTTACACAATATTGTGCCTTTTTATGTAGGGCATGGGCAACCTGATTTATACAGGCGCCCTTAAGCGTCCAGAAAGCGGGCCTCTCAATTCAGAGAAGGGTCTCCTGGATCCGGTTCACTACTGTCTAGCTCTGTCCTGGGTGGCCTCCAAGATCCGAATTTTGGTAATCTACGAATAGCTACAATGCCTCTATTTTGTGAAAAGAGAGCGTCAAAACAAGCTTTTGTGGGCAAAAGCGGACTCCTGCTCCCTTTGCCTGCTGCCAGCAGGTAACTTCCCCCTCCCCCTGCCGCGCCGCTCCCGCACATCATGCTGACATACGTTGCGCAATGCTGTGATACTCAGGTCACCTGATACCAATATCCATGACTCGTATTTCGTCACACTCGCGTCGTATGACAACGTCATAATGACGTCAGATGTGACCGTCGCACTAATGGCACATGGCACAGTTATATAATTGTGTGCGGTGGCACTGTGGTGCTGACTTCATGTGGCATGGTCACACTAGACTGACAGAGGACAGTGAAGCTGGCGTCACAGGCACGGTAACGCTGGCGTCACATGGTACGGTCACGCTGGAGTCACATGACATGGTCACGCTGGCGTCATATCGCACGGTCATGCTGGCGTCATATCGCACGGTCATGCTGGCGTCACAGGGCACGGTCATGCTGGCGTCACAGGGCACGGTCATGCTGGCGTCACAGGGCACGGTCACGCTGGCGTCACATGACAAGGTCACGCTGGCGCCACATGGCACGGTCATGCTGGCGTCACATGGCACGGTCATGCTGGCGTCATATCGCACGGACATGCTGGCGTCACAGGGCACGGTCACGCTGGCGTCACAGGGCACGGTCACGCTGGAGTCACATGACATGGCCACGCTGGCGTCACATGACACGGTCACGCTGGCGCCACATAGCACGGTCATGATGGCGTCATATGGCACGGTCATGCTGGCGTCACATAGCACGGTCACGCTGGCGTCACATGACACGGTCACGCTGGCGTCACATGACACGGTCACGCTGGCGCTATATAGCACGGTCACGCTGGCGTCACATGTCACGGTCACGCTGGCGTTACATGTCACGGTCACGCTGGCGTCACATGTCACGGTCACGCTGGCGTTGTATGGCACGGTCACGCTGGCGCCACATGGCACAGTCATGCTGGCGTCACATGGCACGGTCACGCTGGCGTCACAGAGCCAGTCCCGATTGCGTTACAGTACAAAGTAACCTGCTTCGCATGGCAATTTTGGTGGTAAACACATGTTCAGGGGGGCACGATCTTTAAAACGTCGACGAAGAAGCTGACCGGTCACCCTGGCATTTGCTCCAGTGCGCCGACTTATTTCGGTCAGATCAAGCGAAGCAAACAGCCAAAACGCTCACCCTGGTTTGCCCTGACTGATCACCGCTTGTTGCTCGGGCTCTGAAAAAAATGCAAAACCCTTCGTGAGTAGAGCTTGCAAAGCCTTGCATCGAAAAAAAAATTGGGGGAGTAGCGACGCGTACCGGAATGCAAGGAAGTCTCACGGCCGATATTTTGTTGCAGAACCACTGTAAAGATGAAGGATGCAATTAGTGCTAATCGACTGTACTTGCACGGTAAAATCGGATTATTTTCAAGTGTCATGTCAGTTTTGGTCTAATGGAACGCGGATCGGGGGGAGCCATGAATAAAATATAAAAGGCTTCAAGCATAACGTGCTGAGGAGCCCGTCAGTACAACGCGGCAATAAGTGTGCAACTGCAAACCACAAACTGTTTTTTTTTGTTGAACTGACTGCTACTGATGTCGCCTACATGCTCCAGTGAGGTTTGTCTTTTCAAGTATAGCGGTTCACATGTCAGCTGCCGCGGCCGCCGGGTTTCGAGGCCGTATCACCGGCGGCCGTGACAGGCCTTTCGATGACGTCAGACTGCGGTCCCCGGCGCCGCGTTCACGGCCGACCTGCGCCGGCCCCGGACGCCTCGGAGCTGATGTCGCTGAAGCGGCTCTTGCCGTCGGCGACCGTCTCCGAGCTGCTGGCCGGGTACACTGGGGACACACAGGGGCGGCGTCGGCTTGGGCGACACGTCGTCTGGGGGTCGGGTCACCCTGGCTGTGCGGACACCACATACAGGAGCGGGGCAAACAACGCCTGGTCGTCATGATGGTGGCACGGCTCTGCACGTCGGCCACGACGATTAGCTTTGGCTGGTGTGGCGTTGATGATATGAACGGCAGATATGAAATTAAATGCTTAATAGAAGTTTATGTTTCAAGATATCACAAGCTGAAGGATGCCGGTTACAGCACCTGTTCATGTGGCTCGAGTGTTCCGCTGCGTAGAAACACTTATTCTAACCGTTACGCTAAAACAGGTTACTAAAAGTGGCTTATGACTGGACTGTTAAGTTGCATTTGCTCAAAAACAGCGATAATGAAACATCTGACCTCAATATCTAGAACGTGATCAGTATACTTGTTGCACTGACCCAGGTTAGCTGCAATGCAGAGCAAAATCGTACTTCTTAAAGTAATGCCAAATCGGACTTGGTCATTCCGAGTTTCACAAAGCATTACTTCTCAGTATTACGCTGCCTGGTTATGCTTTTATGTGAAGACAAGAAAATGTGGGGCATTGGTTGGCAGACGTAAAGTAACGGTTTTGAACAAATATTCTCATGTCTCCAATTAATTGGGACCAAAGCTAAAATCATGCATGACTAGCACTTCTAAGGTATAAGACAACGGTTCCGTTCCTGTCATACATAGACACAGCACGGTACGCATCGCGTTTAGTCCAATAAAGGGAACCAACCCCTTCCCCTCTCATTCCCCTACAATAGGATGGATGCGGGCGCGGCGTTTGCTTTCCTCGGGTGATGACGGGCCTGATGAGTGATGTCACCCTTCCCATTTTTCCTTCCCCTTCCTGGCATGGTGATGGACTCAGTAGAGGCATCACCACCTCCGCACATACCTGAGATGGTGGTTGACTTGCTAGAGGCGTCGTCGTCCGTGCTGCGGTAGCGCGGGTCGGTGCTGCGCAGGTACTCGGAGTAAGCCCGCGCCGACGTCTTCCGCTTCCACTCCTGGTGCTCCTGCGCGCTGCCGGAGCGCCCGCTGCGGCGACGCCGCTTGCCGCTGCCGCTTCCGGAGCGGCCGTCCTCGGTCGAGGATGACCACCTGTGCTCCGGCGGCTCGCCGGCCGCGTCGGCGTCGGCTGGCGGCGCCGGCTCCGCCTTCTCCGGGACCGGCGGCGGCGGCGGCGGCGGCGGCGGTGGCGGGTCGGTGAGGGTTGCCACGCTCGTCGGCGGCGCCTCCTGCCAGGGCGAGCTCTGGCCGCGGTCACTCAGCAGCCGCTGTTTTGTGTTGTCGATGCTCGCACGATAAGCGTCCGCCGGCGCGAAGAACTCCTCCGGGATCTTCCGGACCTCGGCACCTTGGCTCTGGCCGGCGTCCCTGTCCTGGATGACGTCAGAGGCCGTGGTCACGAGGGGGACGGGATCAGGCTCAGTGGGGTTGCCTGCATCGGGATCCGCCTTGGATGTGGCCGTTATGACCGATATCTGCTCTTCAGTCAAAACTTTGAGAACTTTCCCCTCCGATGCGCTCTCATCCTTATTTGTAATGCTGCTGTCTTCGCCTTCACCAGACTTGTTTTTATTTGCGATCGGTCTTTCAGCAGCGTCTTCCTGGTATTGAATGCTCCTGTTGTCAGCAGGGATCTCAAATTTTTGTACGTCATGAACGTCAATGCCTGCGGTTTCCTTGCTGGCATCGAATGTGGCCATGTGGTCTACCCCTTTGTTTTCTGACAGCGTTGGATTTTTATCTCGTTCAGAGAATGACATGCGATCTTTATTTTCATCTGGATGTTGTACAGGATTGTTGCTTGCAGATGCACGTTTGGACCCGAACCGATTGTTTGAGCTTTGGTTAGATGGCACCGAATTCGGTCCTGTTGAGCCACGTTCAGAATCTGGTCGGCCGTTTGATTGGGGGTTTGATTTCGCATTCATTGACCCCGCTGAACCACCTTTTGAGTCTGATCGGCTACTTGTCTCTCGGCGTGGTTTTGCCTGGTTGGACCCTGCTGAACCTCGTTTGGAGCCTGATCGGCTTCTTGGCTCGTGGTTTGATGGCACGGAGTTAGATCCTGCTGAGCCTTGTTTTGAGTGTGATCGGCTTCTTGGCTCGTGGTTTGATGGGACGGAGTTAGATCCTGCTGAGCCTTGCTTTGAATGTGACCGTCTTCCTGGCTCGTGGTTTGATGGCACGGAGTTGGATCCTGCTGAGCCTTGTTTTGAATGTGATAGGCTTCTTGGCTCGTGGTTTGATGGCACGGAGTTGGATCCTGCTGAGCCTTGTTCTGAATGTGATCGGCTTCTCGAATCTTGATTCGATTGTGCAGGATTGGGCCCTACTGAGCCTCGTTTCGAATCTGAATGACTGCTTGGCTTTTCGTTTGATTTAACAGGATCAGACCCCGCTGAGCCTCGTTTCACTTCTGCTCGGCCGCTGTCGGGTCTTGAATCACGTTTGCTGGACCCAGAGGATGTCCTTTTCTTGCCTGTTTTTGACGGCTTCGCATGGCTCAAGGACGTTCGGGAATACTTCGACGCCGTTAGTTCGGCTTCTACTCCACCTCCATGGTCGAGCGGGGCTTTCGAAGCCCCCGATTTTCGCTTTCCGTCCGAGTTGGCTATCTCCGGCTGTGACTGCCGCCGGTCTGCTGCCCCGCTGTGGTTCGGGGACGAGGAAATGCTCTTGGCGTCTACACTGACACCTGCAGCGCCGTGCTGCCCCGACTCTGTCGTCAAACCACGCTGCCGCAGCATTTCGAGAGTTTCGTCGTCGATGGCGAACAAGAAGCTGCGCTTGCGTTCATCCGTGAGGTCGCGCGCCACCGACAGTGATAGGTAGCGCTCGATTTCGTTGACCGTCTCGTCCTGCTCGGCGTTGCTGGGCCGGCGCCGCGCCGCCCTCGTGCGAGACGCTCGTGCCGACGCCGACCGCTGCCGGGAGGAGACGGCGCTGCCGCTTGCCACCAGCGCCGCCGGCGGCACGGCGTCGGAACTGAAGCTGCCCCAAACGCCCGGCGGCAGCACCGGGCCGTTGGCTCCCAGCGCGTTCGGCGCGCCGCCACCCGCCGCTGCCGCCGCCGCCGCCGCTGCCGCCATCGCCTCCGCATCAGCCGGATGCACTGTCGAAAAGCGGCGGCCAGAGGCGGAGCGGTGCGTGCGCTGTCCACCGTCGACCGGACTGGAGGTGGGCACTGTGCGCTCCTTCACACCGGACCTTGAGACTTTGAGACGAGAGGGCTTGGAAGAGCTGCCACCACGCACGTTATCGTTTCCATCGGGTTCTTTTGCCGGACTTGGCTTGTCCTTTGGGTCCTCAAGGGCTGTATGGGACTTCTTCTTTTGCTGCTGTTGACCCGATGAAGATTTCTTGTTAGCCAGCAGCGATGCGGTGGTGGAGGGCCTTTTCTCATGCTTTGCTTGCGTGAGATCGGCTTTTGCCTCAGTGAGTTTTTTTAGCTGTTCCAGTTGATTAGATGCTGAGAGAGATATGGACTTCCTGGCTTCCCGTCCTGAGATCTTAATCTGATCTTTTAGGTCGTCGTTGATGCTTTTCTTCGTCGCTACATAGCTAACCGTGGCACTTCTTTGCAGGGTCTTGGACTTTCGCTGTTCATTCGAAACAAGAAGTTTTGCATTGCTCCTCGTCCCACCTTTGTTCGGTTCAGCGTCTGGGGTGGGTAGGACATCATTGCTGCTCTTCTTCCGCCTTGTATTGTTTTCTTTGCTAGCTTGTTTGATTTCTTGAGGCGTCAAATTCAGTTCTTGAATACTTGAAGCCGATATGTGAATTTTCGACGGGCGGTCTGTCTCCATGCTTACCTAGCTGTCGGTGCAACACATCTGGCGGAACTTAGATCAGTTTAAATGTTCGTGGCTGGACCACGTGACGTGCAGGATTAGGAACGCATTTCCGAGGAGTTCATGTGGCAGAACATGGCAGAAGTATTATGTCATGTTGAGTATAATGACATGGGTACCCGCTGCGAGAATAGCATAACCGGTTCCCGAAATGTCATCCTCCATCTCCAGCCAACTAGGGACACGAAGTTCGAGTCTAGGTACGCCTCACATGCTTAAGAAGCGGTGCGGTTGCCTGAATAGAAATTGGGCAAAAACATGTGCAAGCTTTTCAGATATGTTTACGCCTACGCAAAGACCACGTTTATGTAACAATAACACAACAAACGCCGGCTTAAAACCATTTCCGCTCGTGCTGTTCAGTTAATACTTACCACCACAACAGCGGCCAGGTTTGAAGTAAGTCACGCAGAACTAAGTACGTCAAAGACTTGGTGAATACAATGAGTGCTTATACAAATGCATGACTGTGTAGGGAGACCTGTCGAGTTTTTCTCATGCAAAATGAGCTGTCAGGTTCTGTCGAGCTTCACTGAAGGAAAAAAATATATATCGGCAGGGGAATGAGCTGCTCATGTAATGAAGGAATTTTGCAGTTAAAAAACTCACTTTTACGATATTCATGTTAGATTGATTGCCAATCCAAGTCAGCACAGAATTATTAGATTTCGCCAAATGGCCGCCAACTAGTTTGGCATTAAGCCGAACGAACAGTCGCCGTTATCCCCCTCTATTCCTTAAATTTGGATGGTCTCAAAAAACTGGAAAAACTGGTCTCAAGCAAAAGGCAGCATGGTACCCACGCTTCTCAAATGTCCAAGTAGTTTCAACTGAATGCGGTGCGTTGTACTACCGACAGATTGATTTCGTTTTGCTTTTGAACAACGATGAAAGTATATAAATACAAATATGACATGACTTTCAGAGAAAGCCCGGACGGCTTGGGCGAATGACGCCAGAAAAAAATGAGGCCAGAGCAGGGCAGGACAGTATATGGGATGCGTGGAAATACATTACCGTATCACTATCTGTATTCAGCACTTCCTATACATCGAACAGGTCGCATGTTACACATGCAATAACGCACTCGTGCGAGGTGTTTGAAATTTCAAATACAAGCCGCTGTGCTCAACTATGCACCGCTGACAACACGAATCACACCCATCGCACGCCTAGCGAATCGTTCTACCGTTTGAGACCTCAATGAGCGTAGACTGCGAGCCAGCATGTGCTCGCTCCGCGGGCGGTCGCATCCAAACCGCCCTGCCGGAATGCCGCACCTGAAGTGGCATTCACTAGCTGATCATCAGTGTCATGTGCACTGCAGTGCGGTACAGCGCTGTCGCATTGTCTTCACTTTTTCTTTACTTCTTCCTCACTTCACTGTCGCGTTATCTTCACGCACTTTCCGCCCGCCGCGTGAGAGGCAACTCGCGCCGTCAGTCTTGCAGCGGTCATTTGGCGAAGCTCTGGTCCAACGGCGGCTAGCAGCTGACGCTGGGGTAGTCATTGCCCAGCACGGTGAGCTGGCCGGAGCTGAGTTGGACGCCATCCCGACGTAGCTCGAGCGGTACGTTGCTGGTGTCGGTGGCGTCGGCGGCGACGACGGCGGCGTCACCTGGCGCAGCTGGCGACAGCTGGCGCCGGCGCAGCGCCGCCCGCCGTGAAAAGATGGCGCCGATAGCCACGCCCAGCACCGCGCCAGCAATCACGACCAGCATCAGCACCATCTGGGCCCAGCTGCCTCCTGAAACACGACCAGCTGTCACCAATGGCACAAGCACCATCTGGGTCCTTTTCAGCTGGCGAAGGCAACCAGTTTTAAGCCATTGTGCACTTTTAAATAACGAAAGGAAATGACGAGATCAAGTATGATCGAGGTCAGGCCTAGAGGGCGTTCTCAGCTACTCAGCCGTCACCGCATCACCCTCAGACGGACATCGCCGGGCAGCTGGCGCCGTCTGTACGCACCGGTGGGCGCCGCCTCCTCCACAGGCGACACAAGGCTGGCGGCGGCGACAGACGATGTCCGGCCGATGGCGGGTCGGCCGGACGTCACGGTGAGCCGGCGCCCCTCCCGGGCGGACGACACGGGCGGCAGCTGCGGCGGCTCGCTGTCCGGTCCGGCCGGCACCGCCTCCACTCGTGACCCCACGGCCGTCAGCAGCGGCAGCTTCGGCAGGTTCACCCTGCCGGACAACGAAAGCGGTGGAGAGGCTGTCTGCAACGCGTGCAAATTCTCACCCCTGCGCATGTGAGCTGCTTTAGCTACTTGCGCGTGACCTTTCGTGTGATTCGTTGCAACAGAGCCGGTGGAACTTGTACACAATGAGTTGGATTTTAGATGTCAGTTTTTCAACTAAAGCTCGCACATCGCAAGGGTGGGAATGGCTCACGCTCCGTGAAGGAGTTTCGACTGCCTACCCCTGAGCATTGCATCGACTTTGCTGCCATCCAAGGTGGCCAAGCTTCATCAAGTTTTTCCAAGAACTCTTGAAGTGGGCACCTGTCGCCAATCTGTCTACAAGCCAAAGTACAGTCAGCAATAAGTCTATCCGTGACCCAGTGTTCCCATCCCAGACTGCGCACCGGACCACCCTGTGGCTCAGCCTGCCCTCCGAGGACAGCGACCTGTGGCATCCGGCGCCGGCGGCTGCCAGAGCCGACCTCCCAGCTCGCCGCTGGCGCCGCCGCCGCCGCCCATACCCTGCGCTGACGGTAAATGAGTGAGACTGGTAGTTGCAGATGACGAGGAAGCGGCGCGTGCTGTGCGTTTGGATCGTGTCCTGCTCCTGCACCATGACGAACGTGCGCACCTGGCGAAAGCACACGACATGGGTCAGGTGACGACACGTCACGGCACGACACGTGACGCCGGCTGAGGGGCACGGCTCCCCCCCCCCCCCCCCCCCAGCATGGCCTCCACACACCGTCACTGGGCGTGACGCACACAGTGGGGCACAAAATGTTACCTCGATAACTTCTTATATATTTCACGCAACAAGAAACGAACGGATGTTGGTCAAGTGTAAGCCCACGCACATTGCTAGATAGGAGCTGACTAAAAGTATTTGTTTGTTCATGTCCAGAACAGCCTATGTCCATGCATGTTCCTCTTCCACTCACCTCCATGTCCCGCTTCTCGGTGCGGCAGGCGCTGTGATCGATCCTCAGGACGTACACCTGTCGTTCACTGTCCGGGTCTCCCTGCACGCCGCAGGCCCCGCTCGGGTCGTCCTCGACCGAGAGACGACCGGCGAAGTGTGGTCCCGTGTGCACGGTCACCTCGCTGGCGCCCGCCAGACAGCGCGTGCTTGCCGAGACTGCCGGAACGTAGACAGACACACAGCTGACGTCACGGCGTGCATGTGTACGGTCACCTCGCTGGCGCCCGCCAGACAGCGCGTGCTCGCCGAGACCGCCGGAGCGGACACAGATACACAGCTGGCGTCACGGCGTGCATGTGTACGGTCACCTCGCTGGCGCCCGCCAGACAGCGCATGCTCGCTGAGACTGCCGGAGCGTACACAGACACACAGCTGACGTCACGGCGTGCATGTGTACGGTCATCTCGCTGGCGCCCGCCAGACAGCACGTGCTTGCCGAGACCGCCGGAGCGGACACAGACACACAGCTGACGTCACGGCGTGCATGTGTACGGTCATCTCGCTGGCGCCCGCCAGACAGCGCGTGCTCGCCGAGACTGCTGGGGTGCACACAGACACACAGCTGACGTCACTGACGCCGGCTCGGCACCGCGGGCGTGTGAAGCGGTTCTCTGCTGAGAGACCCGCACTCCGCTATGTGGTCGGGTTAGAAGCTGGGGCTTGATTTGATCTCACATTTGTTCGTGTCGATGCTGGTGGGTGGTAAAAGCGGAACTAGAACCAAACAAAGCTGCAATTTGTTTCAATTGAACGCAGTTTTGTCAGATTTTTCCTCGGAATTCTTTTGAGCTTTTTCTCGCAGCCGCGACGCCTTTTTCAGCTTCAACTCCGGAACACTCTCGCTCACTCGGATCGGTTGTAATTTAGCAGCAGCTGCCTCGCCATATGGCTGCATCTGACCTGATGGATCTGAAATCCTGAGTGTTCCCAGGCTCCATCAGAACACTGGCTGCCCGGCCGGATAGGTTAAATCGCGCCGGTGCGCTGTTTAATTACGACACCACATGTTACCAATTTATCTAGATGACAAGACGAATGGCTGGTGCTAAAAACAGACGGCTCAGAATGACCGCCGTAAGAGGACCGGTGGGGGCAGTGATCTTCCGCTGGTGTTAGACATTGCAGGAAGCTACAGCAGCCGACATGCCGCGAAAGGTTAACTTTTCTCGCTGCGGTACGCTCCGATACTCCGACGTGGTGACCGACGCCATTCGATTAGAATTTTTATGGAGCCGGTAAAATGTAGCTCTGTGCTGCCACGCGACGTAGTGATGAAGGCACGGAGTCGTGCGGGCTTGCTGACAAGCGTCATCCGCTGACGACATCAAACACGGACATTAGCCGACCCCGACCCGGGGCGCGAGGATGGCCGGCGCGCAGGTGCTTATCACCAGCCGCAGCGGACGCCGCGCCGTCGCCCGAGCGGGGCTCTGCGGTCGCCACCGCGGGCCAGAGCAAACTTACATGCCTTGGTGCGGACCTGCACGCTCTTGCTGTGCTGGCGCTCCTTGGTCATGCGCCGGTCGAGCGGCGTGACTGAGAACTCGTACTCGGTGTCCATGCGCAGGCCGCCGATCGTCACCTGGTACGGCCGGTCCTGGGTCGGCCGTCGGCTCGTCCCGCCGTGGGATGATCTGGCCAAACAGGGGCCGCAGCTGTCACACCACCTGGGCTAGCCACGCTGGACCGATTCGGCAGCACATCACTTCAGGGAGGGGCAGCTTCAGTGGCACAATTTTTATTCATTTTGCGTCTTATATTGTGATGTGTAAGTTGCTAAGTGCACTTGTCAAGATCATCATGCCCATAAACAGCACTAAAAGCCTTATTCTTCGTAGACTAACCAGGAGAATGGAGAGACAGAAGTATTATTATTTCGGCAAGGTGTCTTTATCGAAGCAGTTTAGCAGAGAGTAGATAGTAGATATTGATAGCATTTATAATATAGTAGATAGTAGATAGTACTTATAAGAAGTGGTTTGCCTGGGCAGGCCCACGCGGGCATCATGGTGGGGTATATTCTACGAGGAATAAGGCTAGTAGTAATGTCTTATTTGTATGATGGCGTTGCAATGGTAATTGTATAAGTAATGCATTGTGCACATTTGGAGTTGCGTAGTAATTTTCATCACACGTTAAGTGTCGCCCAGCAGCTATTCTAGCGACTCTCGTCGGACTTCTGACCAAGACCTATCCGGGCGCATTTCCCTCAGTGTCTGGCCAAGGCTTACCCGGGTGCAGTCCCCTCAGTGTCTGGCCAAGGTCTAACCAGGTGCACTCCTCTCAGCCTCTGGCCAAGGTCTACTCGTGTGTATCCCTCCCAACTGGCACAGACCAGCTGGACGGCGCACTCGAGGCCGACCCCCAGTCACGTCAGTGTGAAACAGACCTTGGACTTGCAGCGGTTGGCGCCCCAGGCCTGCAGCTCGCAGTAGCCGACGCTGAACGCCAGCGCCGCCTGGCGGCCGCCGTGACGCCAGCTGACGTCGGCCCGGTGGTAGTCGGCGGTGACGCTAAGCTCGTCAACGGGCGGCGCGTCGGGCGCGGCCCGGGTGGCGCCGCCGAGCAGCCAGAGCCAGCACAGCAGCCGGGCCGTCATCTGGGGGCGAGCGGCGGGCGCCGGGTGAGCGTAGCGGTCCGACGCGGCGGGCAGACGCCGGGCGGGGCGGGGACTAACAGACAGGCTGGGGAGCTGAGGCCCGCGCGTGAAGAGAGAGGAGAGATGGCGGGAGAGAGGGAGGAGGCGGGAGAGGGAAGGGGAAAAAGAGACAAAGTCACAGAGGTCGGCGGCGTCCAACAACAGCACGCACATACACGTATGTATGTATACACATATGCATATATATATATATATATATATATATATATATATATATATGTACATATATGTATTTTTTGGAGGGTTGGGGGGTTGGCCTCGGCCAACACAGTCGCAAGGGGGCTCGTCCAGCCGCCACCCGGTCTGCGCCCTCGCCGCCGCCGCCCCAGGAGCGGGCGGCGTTGCCCGACGGGCGCTGCTCTGTGCCCGGCTCCGGAGCCGGACACCCGAGCCGGACACCCGAGCCGGACACCACGCCGGCGGCACCTGGCGCCGACCGCGCACCGGCGCCGGCCGCCAGCACCGTTGGGGCTGGTCGGACGGCCGGCCGCGGAGCGCGTGGGAGCCGCTCGCCGTTTCCGGCAGTGGCGGCAGTGCTGCCTCGCGCCGGAGCGCCGGCGTCGCTGGCGCCTGTCCACGGTGAACACGCTCTGAAATCCGATAGCCTGGACCCAGGTAGGTGCCGGGCTCGGAAAAATGCTGGATCGCAGCTTGAGTTGTAACTGTAGGCACGAGCGGCCCGCAGATTACTGGTGCTTTATTTTCAGGCACGTGACGGTGAGGCATCCCATCTCGAAAAAGGGACACCATTATTTTCGTTTTAAACGTCTTCCACAGGACTTACTTGTCACTCCACGGGCCATATCGGTCAGAGGAGTGTCGGAATGCACTCTCCGAGCATCAGCGAGGAATGTGATGTAGCGCGCCGCTGGCCGCGGGCCGGGCGGGGAGTGAGCCGACCCATCGTCCAGCCAGCTAACGACTGCCATAAATCCGTCGCCACCCAGCCCGCTTGTAGACATTTACGTTTAACACCGCCCCTCCTCTGACGGGCGTAATGGCGGCCATAGATCGACACCGTTACCCTGTGCTCCCGCCCGCAGCAGCCCGGCAATTACACGCGCACGCACCCGCGTCCGCCGCTGTAAATTAGGGAGATTTTTCCCGGTTCTCGGCACGTGACACCCAGCGAGCGCTTCTCCGTTTCTCGGCGGCTTCCGTGAGAGCGGCCCTCCGCGTGAGCACCGCAGCCGCGCAGGCGGCGTGGAGCGCACACCCGTGACCGACTGGCCGTCGCCGCCGGATCTGCGGGCCGTTTGGGCTGAACCGGCGGTGACACGGTCCTCTCGCGCCGCGCGCCCGAGCTGGCCGCAGGCGCGCGCGGAGGAGGGCGGCGGGCGAGCTCGTTTGCCGCCGACCGGACGGCAGGGCGTTGGACGCGGCTGGCCTCAGTGCCGCAGCTCGCCGTCACCTAGGGGCGGGCGGAGGCAGCGCCGGCGGCGGAGACCTGCAGGCGGCGGGCGCGGCCGCCAGGGACGGCGCCGGCCGCCTGGAGACGGCCGACATCCGTGGGAGTCGGCCGCGGTGAGAAGCCGCAGCCGCGGCCGCCTGCAGGGGCAGCGGACGGACACGAATCGGGCCGCAGGGGAGGCAGCCGTGGGTTCGTCGAGGTGCAATGCGCGCTGCATTTATCGCTGCGAGGAAAGACCAGCATCCAGTTCAGTGGCACCATACCACGAAAGGGAACAGATCGCATGAGCCTGCCCAGCCTGGCCTGCGTGCGTGCGTGTGTTCAGTTGGAGAGGATGTTTAGACGTGAATGCTCCACAGCAGCAGCGCGCCTGCAGAAATGCAGGCTACTGCGCGCTCTCAGCATGCCTCCAGTGAACGCACACGAACGCGCATAAATCTTCAGCAGCTCCCTCCGCTGCGGCTCGTCGGACGCGGCTGCGCGCTCTGTGACGCCAGTGTGAGCACGAGCCCTGAGACCAGAGTGACGCCTCGCTCGGGCCGGGCCGGTGGTGCGGCAGCAGGCCAGGCGTGGAGACAGTGCGGACTGGAGCTGACCTAGCTGATACCGGGGCTCTGTAGCAGCTCCCGCAGGTCTCTGCGCTGCGCCAGCGCCGGCCGCGCGCCGTCCCGTGCCCCAGCCGCCGTGCGCTGAGCGTTTCGTACGTGTTCCGTGAGCAGCGCTCGTCAGATGGCGACTGATGACAGGACAGCGCTCGGGGTCACGCGGCTCGTGTGCAACCGCGGGTCGGGCTGCTAGACGCCTGCTACGCTGCTGCGGGACTCGTCGCGGCTGTGGCCAGCTGGCCCGTGACGTCAGCGGACCGCTGTGTGACGGCTGATTGATGACGTCACACGAGCACCGTGCGGCGAAGGCGCCGTGACGTCACACGCGTAATTTAGCGCCGTTGTCTGGGGACCGAGAGCCAGGTGGCAGTAATGACGCTCTGGCTACACTGGCGGCGACGCTGCCACGGAGCCATCGCCGACTTGCCGCATCCTAAACCGGAAGTCGGACCGCTGTTTTCACACGTCACCAACGATAAACCTGCTTGATCACAGCTGGTGCGTACTACCATTAAGCGCGTATTAATCAAGATCTGCGAATGAATAAATCAGCAGCCAGCACCCGCAAGAAGTGATTAATGCGGATAAATGACGCGTGAGAATGGAGCTGAAGCAAAACTGAGAGCGAAGTTCTGAACGTTCTTCTTAGGTGTCACGGCGGCTGGACACTGGTCAGTGATGGATCACAACCTCGCTGCAGCTGAGACTCCACATCCGAAACAGCAAATCCAGATCCATGTCTCTCAGTGGCTACCAAGTGGTGCGACCAGTCGGAGCTCCCACCACCTATGGATGTTACTTGTAGGGAAGACCAGATGATGACTGTGACGAAGTCAGTAGCAACCTTGAACACCCAGACAGCGTCACCGCTGGACGGCCTGTTCCTTGGCCAGCGAAGAGGCCATGACCTCAGCCCAAGTGGGCAAGGCCGGACAGCTCGCAGCGTCCCCCGTCAGCGCCAGGCGGCGGCTCTGAAAGGTACTCATCGCGTGATTGTGTTCCAGAGGGCCTCGAGAGACATTGCTCTTGCGATCATGTGCCACAGGGCTGTAAAAGACGCCGCTAATGTGATTGTGCGCCAAAGAAGACCCAGAGGGCCCGCTCGTGTGACCGTGCGCGCCAGGTGACCTAAAGAAGGGCTCCTCACACGATCGTGTCCCCCCTTCCCCCCCCCCCTTCCTGGAGAAGCTGCTCACGCGATCGGCACACCAGACGACATCGACACACGCCGCTCACGTACCCGTGCTCAGACCGTCCAGATGTGCGCTCTGCACGGCCCCATGCGCCATCAGACCGCCCAGATGTGCGCTCTGCACGGCCTCAGGCGTCAGGCAGCCCCAAACGAGCCGAGTGAGAGGCAGCCCCGCACACCACCGCGGCCCAGCCATTGTTCCGAGGACTCCGCACCAGACAGCGTAAGGCGCAGGGAGTGCTGGAGCACGGGGCGGCACTGAACTGCATTCCCGGCGCCAGCGGGCCGCATCGGCTCCGTTCAATCTCAGCCACAGCTGCTTGACATGGTAATTGTATCGACGCCCGGAAAAAGCGCCGATGAGATCACGTGGAGCATGTAACCAGAGCGCAGTTCAACGTCACGTCACGGTCCACACGTCACGTCACGCCTGGGTGCCAGCCCACTACCGCCAGGCTCTACAGAGGCGTTGAAGAGCCTCTTGATGCAAGGTCAATTGCTGATAACTGTATCTGAGGCATGTCTTGCGCGGCTTAACTTGTTGAATGACGATGACGAAATAAGTGTTGAAGATGAAGAAGATGAAAAAAGAAAGAAAAATACAGAGCAGAGTCCGGCTTGGTCTCATTCATCCATTTCGTTTTGCTTGATGTGTGGTGGTGTGTGTGTGTGTTGTGTGTGTGTGTGTGTGTGTGGGTGTGTGTGTGT